CAGGGTGTCTGTTGTGGGTAGGGGAAGGGAAAGGAGTTTGTAAGCCGCTCTGAGACTCCAAGTGAAGGGCGGGGTATAAATCCAATCCCTTCTTCTTAGTCTGTCAGCAAGCAGAACAGAGAGAGCGGAGACTGGGTGCCACCCCACCCTTCCCCTCCCCGTCCTCTGAAGGCTTTGGGGCAACCGAAGGGCACAGCAAGGGTTCACGCGCTGCCTCAGCAAAAGCCTGGTGGTGTGCAGACCTTTGGCTGGAGGCTTTAGTGGCATTGTGGCAACCAGCAGTTGAGTGCTTTGTGTGTGGGGGGGGGGGGACACTTGAGTGGCCTGTTTAAATAGTGCAGCCCGAGGTGTGTTTTTGTGAGGGGCGCTTTCCCTTGGCATCCAAAGCAGCCGGCGATGGGAGGTGACCAGACGGAAGCGTCTGTGTGTGTGCGTGCGCCAGCATCTTCTGCTTCAGCTCGGTGAGGGCTAACCAGCAGCCCCGAGACTCAGCCCTGTGCACCGTGTGGGGAGGGCGGCTCTCCTCTCAGGACATTTTAGGCGGTGCCGGCTCAAGGGTGGCTGTGGTCTGCCCAGGTTGGTCTCCGTTGCAGCCCGAGGTGTGTTTTTGTGAGGGGTGCTTTCCCTTGGCATCCAAAGCAGCCGGTGATGGGAGGTGACCAGGCGGAAGCGTCTGTGTGTGCGTGCACCAGCGTCTTCTGCTTCAGCTCAGTGAGGGCTAACCAGCAGCCCCGAGACCCAGCCCTGTGCACCGTATGGGGAGGGTGGCTCTCCTCTCAGGACATTTTAGGCAGTGCCGGCTCAAGGGTGGCTGTGGTCTGCCCAGGTTGGTCTCCGTGGTGGCGCTGGTGGTAGGGATTGACCTCTTCCTAGTGGTTCGTTCTTGCCATCAAAATTGCCTCCCTCCGGTGCTTCTTTTCTCACTCATGGCACCAGGGGGAGAAACAGAAACTAAATCCCTGCCGGATTTATAAAGGTATGCACGGGGAGAGTCGACAAAGAGAACTTTTCCTCCCTCTCCCAGAATACTAGAACTTGAGGGCATCCAGTGAAGCTGACGGGCAGTAGGTTCAGGACAGACAAAAGGAAATGCTTCTGTATACAGAGAGTGCTTGAAGTGTGGGATTTGCTGCCGGAGGGTGTAGTGATGGCCACAGGCACAGACGGCTTTCGAAGGGTATTAGATTAATGGAGGAGAGGTCTGTCAGCGGCTCCTAGCCATGGTGACGGAGGGGAACCTCCGTGTTCAGAGGCAGTCAACCTCTGCATCCCAGTGTCAGGAGGCAACATCAGGGGAAGGCCTCGGCCTCTGTGCCCTTCCAGAGGAACTGGCTGGCCACTGCGAGACACAGGAGGCTGGCCTAGTTGGATCACTGGGCTCCTCTGACGTGCTTATGATTTGTCACGGATTCCCTTGTGTTGTGAATCCCTGGACCCAGACAAGAAACCGTGGGGAGCCTTGTTGTGTGGTGGCTTCAGTCTGGCTAAGTTCCTAAGGATTCCGGACAACGTCTGAAGGTTCTCGCTGGCCGCTCTCCTCCCCGGCCCCAGCCACTTGCGAACGACAGCACTGGACTGTGGTTCAGGGACATCGGAAGCGGCCCTCCCTCAGCCCCATAGCCTATAACTGGGGAATAGCAACCCTGGACTGTGAGCTATAACTGGGGAATAGCAACCCTGGACTACACTGCAGGGCTGCTGTGAGCTGTTCTGTCTCAGCCTTTATGTCCCATCCCCCATAACATGGGGATAACAGTGAACGGCTGCGTTAAAAAAAAATAAAAGTTTTAAAACTCCCCACTCTCCCCTTCACATTTTGCATGTGAAAGAAGACTCAAGTGAGAGCACGGAGACTTAAAACAACAACAAATTGTCCGGGAGTCTCCTGTCTAGCCCCGGAGTTGTTTGCCTAGCTTTCTTCCAAAGCGTCCTGGCCTGTGAGTGTGGGAAAGAAAGCGGAAGAGAGGAGAAAGGGAGGCAGAGAGCCGTGCAGCCCTTGCGGTCCTTTCCTTTCCTTTTCAGAGCTCCTCTGTTCTATGCGAGGGTCAGGGATTCCAGGCACTGGGGGGCCGGGGAGGTATGGCGGTGGGGCAAGGTGCAATAAGGGAAAGGGGCAGAGAGATGGAATTTCTCGGTCCCCTTCCAACCTTTGCCCCATCCCAAGACTTGTTGGTAAGTGGGCAATGCCCCCTCTACGCTGTGGAGTCTTGTGAGCAAAAATTCTGCTTTGTGAGCTGCTGGCATTAAAGTTGTGAGCGAACGATTTGGCTCCTGCATAAGTTAGTTTGCCCCGGAGCCCTCCTTCCTGAGCGGAGACAAAAAATGTGTGAGCTGGAGGCTAAAAAATTGTGAGCTGGCTCACGCTAACTCAGCTTAGAGGGAACACTGGTAGTGGGGCCGGGAAAATGTACCCTTCTCCGACACGGCTGCTGTGTCCCTTAACAGGAAGTGAGGATTACCTTGCAGAACAAAATATAGACCTGGCATGAGTCACCGAGACCTGGGTGAGGAAGGGCAAAACTGTTGCCTTGAACCAACTCTCCCCCCCCTCACCAGTCCCGGACTAATTGGGGGGGGAGTTGCGATACTTATCCAGGAGTCTGTCTCCTTTAGAGCGCTCCCCGCACCAAAAATTGCCGGTGTTGAATGTGTGGGCCTAGTGAGGGAAGCTGAGGAAAGTTTGGCTATTTGGCTGGCGTACCGTCTGCCTTATGCACCAGCAGATACCCTTCTGGACCTGTTGGAGGCAGTATCAAGCCGGGCATTGGAGTACCCTAGACTACGAGTCCTGGGCGACTTCAGTGTCCGTGCCTCCTCCTCTCAGGCCGTGGACCTCGCGTCGTCCGTGGCAGCACTGGGGCTCTCCCGGATTGGAACAGCTCCCACACACCAAGCAGGCCACACGCTGGATCTTATTTTGGAGATGGGGAGGAATGTGGATCCGATGATGATTGATGTAGTGCCACAGTCGGACCACTTTGCCCCGAAGGCCCGGCTGAGCATCCCACGCCCCTCCCGGTTTAGGGGTGAGCTGATTTATGCTCACCCACAGAGACTGATGGATCCAAGTGGACTCCAGAATGCTCTGTGGGAACGGATACCCCCTGGCAGTTCGTTAGATGAGCTGGTGGAGGATTGGGCCAGCCAACTCTCCAAAGCAATTGACGAGATTGCCCTCCTGTGGCCTCTTCGCCCTCCGGTGCCCGTCCCAAAACAACCAGCCCCGTGGTACAACCCGGAGCTGAGGAGGCTGGAATGGGAACCGAGACGGCTTGAGTGAGAATGGCGGCCTACTCAGTCACGACAAAGCCACAGAAGCATCTTACAGGACATTTATGAAGACCTATGAGCCAGTTTGGTTTAGGAGAGCCAGTTTGGTGTGGTGGTTAAGTGCGCGGACTCTAATCTGGGAGAACCGGGTTTGATTCCCCACTCCTCCACTTGCAGCTGCTGGGTGACCTTGGGCAAGCCATAGTTCTGACAAGAGCTGTCCTTGAAAGGGCAGTTCCTACGGACTCTAATCTGGGAGAACCGGGTTTGATTCCCCACTCCTCCACTTGCAGCTGCTGGGTGACCTTGGGCAAGCCATAGTTCTGACAAGAGCTGTCCTTGAAAGGGCAGTTCCTAAAAGAGCTGTCTCAGCCCCACCTACCTCACAGGGTGTCTGTTGTGGGGAGGGGAAGGGAAAGGAGATT